CTGAGGTTATCGTACTCACATACCTCCGGTCGTGTAAGGGTATACAATGAACTAAGTAGGCTGTTCGTCACCAGCAGCGGCGTTCGTCAAAGGTGCCCTCTTTTGCCGTTCCTGTTCAATTACGTCGTAGACAAAAAACTGGAGAGCCCACTTAGGGGACTCCAAAACGTAGGTATTGAATGGACAGCTGGAGAAAAGCTATGCGATTTGGAGTACGCCGATGATATCGTCTGTCTGTTCGAATGTATGGAGGACGCGCAAAGGGCACGTGATAGATTAATAAGTGCAGTGGCCACATTCGGTATGTGCTTTGCACGTTCGAAGTGCCAAGTGCTGCTGCAGGACTGGGTTTCGTCTACTCACACTCTGACCCTAATTGGCCAGGAATTAGTTGTGGCGGATTACTTTCCCTACTTAGTTAGCTGCGGGACCAATGACGTTAATGCAGTAAAAGAGATAACCGCCGGCATTTCCAAAGCTCGAGCAACATACGCAGGACTGAAATACCTTTGGCGTAGACGCGACGTTTCACTGAAATTGAAAGGTCGTGTATGCTATGCTAGCGTTCGTTCAGTTCTGAGACCCTGGATTTGCGAGCAGAAGATATCCGTCGACTAGAAGTTTTAGATTATCAGTGTTTACGCAGTTTACCCAAAGTTGTATGGAGCCAACAGGCTAGTAGTCTGGAAGTAAGCCGTCGTGTGTTTGGGAGTCAATCAGGTATAAACCTGCTAGCATACCGAATACAGATTACTAGGCTTCGGTGGCTAGGGCACTTATTGCGTATGCTCAGCCATCGTCTGCCGCACCGCGCTTTATTCGCTGTAGCTAATCCAGGCTGGAGGAAACCACGCGTAGGTCAACAGATGGCGTGGAGACGAGGCATGAAGAAATGCACATAGCCATTAGGTAGAGTAGGTGTTTCTCGCCTTCCCGTCGTTACTAGTTCGAACACAGTAATTAGCTCTAAGGAGTATTATTCCCTTTTTGACCGTTGAGGGAAACAGACAATCACTTTATTTTGCGTAATCCAAACGTACTACTAACTACACCGTTACAGACCCTCTTGAATCATTGTTGATCACACGATGCGTGGGCTAAACTCAGTCCGGCTGTGTGAATAGAACTATAAACTATAGACGTACGTGGCGATTAAAGTCACTGGTTGGAGAACCGGTGGGCAACGCAGGATGGGAACCAGTGCCTGTGTTCCGCGAGAAAGCAACAATTGACAGGCCCATTTTGCTAACTCGGACTGATGAACCGGTAGGGATCGATAAATTGGTCATACAAAAATTGTTGGCCCTTTTCCAATGTGTGTCTGGATTTGGTCTAGCTGGAATGATTAGCTCTGCACTGCACTGCACTAATTGCTTTC